TATGGTAGGTGATTGACCTTTAGCGATCTCCGACCTTAGATGAGGATGCAAGCGATAACAATTGATAGAACTGTGACCAAACATACTGCAATGAGAGTAATAAGAAGGGCGTGATTCTATTTCAACCTTTTGCCAATACCCGTTGTGAGTGGTTTCAATCCATACATCATTCGGAGCTGGTTGAGTGATGTCCCTCTCAACTGACACACAAGCTACAGAGGGTCTGGTGACCGCAAATATAAGATTATCAATCTTGAGAGACTTACCGTAAGCAGTTGCTAAAGAGTAGAGAATTTCTAAGTTGAACATATGCAATTTTAACCCCAGAAATTTTATCCAAACAGGAATGACAGGAGACTCTGCTTTTGAATCAAAATCAATAGTCCACTTTAGAATTTTCATATGACGGTTGCCGATCTTGACAACTTTTCGAGAAAAAATGCGAGTGTGATCGACATTGTGAAATAAATCAATCAGTACGTGTCAACCGTCAAGTAGATCAATATTCCAATTGCCTAACAACTTCATAGCATCAAATTCTTTTCGATTGATCTCAAGTTTTGAGTTACCATAAAGAAATTTTCCCACCAGAACAAAACGGCAAGAAGATGTGAGAGTATTGGTTTCAACCTCCGTGAGAATAAAAACAAGCTTTCTATATTTTTTTTCCAAGTTTTTTAATGAATGTGTGATCACCACCATCTTCAAGAGTCTCGTGGAAAGATTGTAGAACATTGCAAGACTTACCTATATGAAAACCAGTCTTTGAACTTTAAGGAGGAGCATGTGTAGGAATAGGGAAGTCGCTGGCAAGTCCAGTGGCATAGGAACAGATAATCGATGCCATCTCCACCGACAAGATGGTGTTTGTGTGTCGGTCAACAAAGCAACAGTCATCTGGTAAAGCAAAGTTGCGTTGTCGGGAAGATAGCGAAGACGCGTAGAAGGACGACAACGAAGGGAGCGCCCTCGCCTATGGGAGAGACGCTTGCAAGCGAGATGTCATGTAGGACGCGAACCACGAAAGAATGAGGCATCGTCGAACCGCGGGAGAAGTCGTCTATTACAGAGACGACACGAGCGAACGCCGACGACAAAGACGTCTGCTGCAAGCGAACTTCTTGAGAAAAGCTGTGGGGAAGTGATAAACCGAGGAAATCACTGCCGAGAATCACCATCCAACGAAACCCTAGCGCACACACACACACATATATATATATATATCTGTGTGTGTGTGTGTGTGTGAAATTGATTCATCAAGAGATTACAATATTTTTGGTATATTTAATGTTGTTGATTTATTGTCATACTATGAGGATCCATAAGATTCTAAAAAAGAAGGCAAAACTACTTATACCTAGGGAGAGTAATGCAGGAGTGTTTTCGCCCAAGTGAGACAAACGTGAGGAACAAGAAATCTTGTCCCTAGAAACCTATAGTTGAAAAGTTTTTGCCTTTGACTATTGTGGTCCTTGTGGAGCCCCTCTTTAATTTATTGAGTTCTAACTAGGGTTTTATTTATGTCTAATATAAATGTATTGCTTAGAACTTGATTTTTGAGAACTTTTACTCGGTTTATATTATTGGAGATTTGTTCTTATATTTTCCATCTAATGGAGTGTTCTATGTTATGTTCTCATGCATGTAATGTGTCTGTAGCTTGTTCGGGACTAGATGGTGGATCTGCCTCGGCTTCCCCTTCTTGCTGGTGTCATAATTTGATGTTCGTTTTCCTTGCTGTTTTCAACCTTGAAATCCGCCAAACTTCTTTAATCACCATTCGACCTCTGCCGAATTTCATATTCTCTTCCTTTTGCTATTCCACAAACTCTTTGCTATATCCGATCCTTAAACACCATTCTCCCTTGGAAAAAAAAAGTTTTTGTTCTTTTTTGGAAGATTTAATGGCAACAAGTTTCTTACCTTGGGATTATCATTCTTTTTTTCAGTTCACATGAGTGAGAAATTAAGTTGGTTAAGTTTGTTATTAAATCTTGTAAGGAACCCAAGCAACATACTTTTTATATAGATTTGAGAATCACAACATATTCACTGCAATTCATTTTGAGATCTTTGTAGTAATCTTGTTGTAATCAATGGATTTTTATTGCATTTAAATATTTAATGATAAAAAATGTTATCTTGCTTGGTTGTTGAGAGCTTCGGCTTGTTCTCGTAAACGAGTAGCATTTGTGATCTTTTAAGTCATTTTGTTTAATATATTTCCAAACATATTTTATGGTTGTTAGGAATGTGTGTGGAGTATTGATTTCAAGTATGATGTTTCATAATCATGAGATATTTTCATGAAATTTGCTTTATCCCAAAATGCTACAGATTCGGGGAAGATCATTAAGATGTTAGCCTTTTTCCGTTTCTTTCAGAAATCCGCTTTAGGTAGATTTTTCCAGTCAAACGAAACATGGTTTGAATTATTTAGAATTATCTTTTAGTCTGGTTTTCGTGTTCACGATGGTTGAGTTTTGGAAGGGAAGTTAAAAAGAGCAGTCCTGTCTAGGACGAGGAAAAATGAAAGAGAGGAATAACAAGTGGGGAAGTGGCCCTTAACCTGTCTGATAGCATATAAAGAAGGGAAAAAAGGGGATATGACATTTGTTTTGTTCATTCTATCGATGAATATTTATAAACGAACTACCAAAAAAATAATTTAAAATAATTAATTATAAATATTTCAAAATACTGTCAAAATCGTACGGGGTTTGAAGCATTTAGAATTATCTTTTTAGTTTGATTTTTCATGTTCACAAGGGACTCTTTGGAAGGTAAGTCAAACAGACCAGACCTGTTGAGGGCAAGAGGAAGAATGAAATTATATACGGTACCATACAAAAAAGAAAAAGTGGCTAGAAGGGTTTTTTTTGGTCCTTCTATGGATGTGTATTTACATACAAAACTACTGAAAGAATAATTGGATACTATTAATTATAAATATTTTAATATACTGTCCAAAAGTTTCAACTTCGGCTAGTTGGAGGAGATAGCAATTCTCGACACTCTCCTTTCCATTATAAGCACATGGAATTTGTGGCACCCTTTCCATCTTAAGCACATGAACCTCCAACAATTTTTTTTTTATTTAGTACATGAATATATATATATATATATATATATCTTCTCTCTCTTTATTAAACATTCTCTCTTACTCTCTTTTATATATATATATATTTCTTATCTAACTCATATATTCGCTTTTCTCTTCTGCGTTTCTCCACAAAATTGAAAGTTTTAGCTGCTACTGTCTTGACTTGAGCCCCACAATATGTATCCTTGCTAATGTTGCAGTGGAGCTTTAAGAATTTCTTAAACATGTACTTCATCTATTGTTTATCTTCATCCGCCATAAAAATAGTGTTTGTAAGACGCACCACATGTGAGCATAATTAGCGATATACATATTTTTATTGTCCAGGTGGGTGTTCTGCCAATGGATGAATCAAAGGTCATCATGAAAGGTAGATTGGGTCCAGGAATGATGATAACTGTCGATCTCCAGAGTGGACAGGTCTAGAACTTCTGCTTTTATATTTTTCGTTATTATTGTTCAAGACTTGTTTTTCTTGAGTGAATTTTTAAGTTATTTTCAATCATGTTTATAATATATGCTGACTCTGCCAATCAGTTTGACAAGGCTGTATATTTTAAATAGGTTGCGATTTGGCATCTTAGTTGATAATCCACTTTTTATGTCTTGAATTTTCTTGTATTAAAACTCAGCATTAAATCCTGGATCATGAGCAAGAAAGTGATAAAGAGGAGATGATAATATCATTAAGATCCACTGAATCATGCTTTTGTGTCCTACCACATTTTGTCAAAGACAACTATATTTCCATATTTCTATGTTGTACACTTCTTAAATACAATTTATCATCCTGAATTTAGCCTATGTGCGATTATGATTCTGTTGAATCTCAGAATATTGCAATGAAGGATGGATACTTGAAAATGTAATTACATGGATGATTGTTAAACGTACCTTCCTTCTCATAGTTTTCCATACTGAGTGAATAGTACAACATTTATTTCTATCCAGATATGAAATTCTCATGACATAGTTTCTTGCTTTCTGTTTTGGTAGTTTTCTTATAATATTCTTACATCACTGCTGCTTGTAATCTATACCTCTTTTTTTTTTGGCAGGTTTATGAAAATACAGATGTTAAGAAGAGAATAGCGTCACTTCATCCCTACAGGAAGTGGTTGACTGAGAACATGAGGACATTGAAGCCAGTCAACTTTCTTTCATCAGTAGTCCTGGATAATGATACAATACTGAGGCACCAACAGTAAGAATCAATCGTTCATTGGCTCATCTGGTACTTGGGTTTCAATTGTTGCCCATTTCATGTGGCAGTTAGTTTTATATTAGCTTGCTTCTTCAAAATATTTAATTTATTATCTTATGATGTTTCGTTAAATTATTAAATGTAGTTATTTAAAGGATTGTTTCGTTGTGGCACTCTCAAATCCATTTTTTCTTGTCTGTTCGTCCGTATAAATTTTGTCAAAATAGGTTTAAAATCACCACAAACCCCAACTTTAACTTTGCATTCATGAAGGCATGCTTGCTCAGTTTTTTATTATCTATGGACTCGTTGTTAGTATTTTTTGTCTTTAGAGAATGATTGTAATTTCGTGTCTTAACCTTCATCACTAGATATTGGAAAACCATTACTTTTGATTTAATTTATTTCATCTGATGGGATCTTTACTGGACTGTTTGTTACTGAATTTAGTTCTTCCTAATTAGTTCCAGTTTGTTGGATCAGAGCGTTTGGCTACTCCAGTGAAGATGTGCAGATGGTAATTGAAACAATGGCTGCACAAGGAAAAGAACCAACATTTTGCATGGGTGACGATATCCCATTAGCAGTATTGTCTCTGAAACCCCATATGATCTTTGATTATTTCAAGCAGCGCTTTGCACAGGTAATTTATACACTTCTGCAAAATAAAAGATTGTTATTTGTGCTTTAATACTAATACGCTGAATTTGGGTTTGTGGCACATACGGTGCCTTGGAGCTATTTCATCTTGATATTTATTAGTCTGTGTTCTCTACTCTCTCTCCCTAACATCTCTATTTAACCATGTTGTTTTGTGGGGAAAATTGAAATGTCATAATTGCTATGGCCTAGGGAGTTTAGTTTCTTAGAATCACCGAAAATTGAAAAATTTTGTGTATGAATTTTCGCTTTATTTTGTTTTTGGCGTATTACACAATCATCACTATTGTTATAGTTGTTAAACGTAAGGCAAGCCATAGGATGGATTATAGTTAATTATGTTACTTTCAATCTTATCAGGATGGTTAGTTTCTCTTCCTTTGTTATCAAGAAATTGATTTGTACATTGTTTTCCTTAGAGAATTTTTACCAATTTTCTGCTTCGTTTAATGCAACTAATTGTTTGCTGCCAAGCTTTTACATTTTCACCATTTCTAGTTTACTGTCTTTATACCTGATAGCTGCATTCCCACTCTGTTACCGAAATTAGTAGGAAAAATAGTGGAAACACAAAAATAAACTTTCATCAATATTAAAATAGGGGGAAAGTGCAGAAGTGCAGGGACAACAATTAGGGATGGTCGTAGGTGACCGGTGAGGCAATGGCTAGAGCTTGGAAGGTGTCGGACAACAAGGGCAGCGGTAGTGGGGTGTGCAACGGTTGGTTAGGAGTTCTTGGAAAGAGAGAGGATGGTTGGACAACAAGTTAAAGATGCAGGTACGGGGTTGTTGAGTGCAGAAAATGAAGGAGGGAGAGGCCGGCGGCTAAGGAGAGAAGAGGAGACAGATGGGAGAAGGTGAAAGGGAAATGATACAACACCACCTCAGAGTAGGATACAATCGGAGCACCACCACTTCGTCGGATACAACCCTAGAACAGGGAAAAGGACTTCACACAGGAGATTTGAAAACAAACACAGTAAGAATTGACTCCCATACATAGAGGACAACAATTTATAGAATCTTACTGGACAAAGGAAACTTCTACATAAATGGAAGGGGTAGGATGGCAAGAAGAATCTATAGAATAGCCATTAAAATACTTCTCAAATAAAGAAGATCACCAAATGAAGTTGCGGTAGTTCACTCGTTCGAGAATCGGTTTGCGTTCCCTACCTTAGCGATTTCCCGCTATGCTTCCGCCTTCGAGATCTCTCGCTCATCCTCGCCCTGGTTCGCATGGCCTCTAACCATGCGATTTTTGAGCTCCTCACTTCGAGGGCGCTTTTATTGCCCGTGACAGGGGCGCTTTTCAGCGTCGCGTCAGTTTCCAGGGGCCGAGGGTGCTTCAGCCTCATTCATCGAAGCTTCTAGTTGTTGTCTTTGATTCTGGTGGCACCTAGATCCCACTTTTGATTGCACTGCCCCCAATGCTGCGGGGAAGCCTATCTGTTTTGTGAGCACATGCCCCTCTCGAGCCGTGCTCTTGAGAATGTGAACCATGCCTGTACTGTTGAATCTTCCCAAGGTAACCCACAATTAGTTCAATCAAATGTGCAACGAGAGCAACCTGAACCTTCATATCCTTTGGTGGCTCTAGCGGTGCGATGTCGATTGTGATCCCTTGAAATTTCCTTGATTATATCTGTCCTGTAGCTGGAGCGGGTCTCTCAGTCCCCTCGTCTGGTGTCATCACGGACATTGGTCCCACTGTCGCCACTCTGCTGGTGAGGGCTTCTGTGACCTCGGGCTCTGTCGATGGAAGTAGGATGATGTGCTTACCATTCTCGTTGAAGGAATAAACGTTACTAAATCCATCGTGCTTAGTCCTCCACTCAAACTGCCACGGTCTTCCCTACAAAAGGTGGCAGACATTCATAAGAAGCATGTCACACCATACCTGGTCCTGCAACTGGCCTCCGGTTGAAAACTCTACAAGCATCTTTGGTCGATGCAGACTCGCTTCTCTTTCTTCAGTCACTTTAGTGAATATGTTTGGGAATGCCTCTGAGTCGCAAACCCTATTCTCTCAACCATCTGTGTCGATGCCACGTTCTTTGCTGCTCCCACCGTCGATGATTAGACTTCATACTTTTTCGTTCAATGTGAAACGGGTGTAGAATATGTTGTGGCCAAGCTATTGCAGATCCCTCGTGTCCTCAGTTTACAGGATCTGTCAAATGACAAGCGCCTTTCCTTCGTCTGGTGAAAGATTATACACCTCACCCTATTTCTCGGCTTTCTCCTCGTCACTCATCTCTCTCACGATGCCTTGATTGTTGAGTTTGATTACTCTGCTCGTGGACGATTGGAGGCTATGTGGCGGTAGCCGTGGCATCGATAACACTTTCTGATCGGTACCATGTTGGAGTAGTTACTTTTCTCTTCTTTCTTTTCGCTTCAGTGAGTTTGACTACTCTGCTCGTGGACGATTGGAGGCTATGTGGCTGTAGCCGTGGCATCGATAACACTTTCTGGTCGGTACCATTTTGGAGTAGTTACTTTTCTCTTCTTTCTTTTCGCTTTGTTCTGATATGTCATTCCCTTGTCCTCGTGAAAATTGTAGGCGACTACCTGCCTGAAGGATGATTGTTGCCTGCTCTGCTTCTCCTGCTTTTTCACCTTCAAGGCTAATGTCTGGACACCCCCGAGATATATGGTCATCATTTGTTTCCTTGGCTTCATCAGCTCGCATTTCAGCTGCAAGTTGTCGAATTGGGCTGTGAACTCCTCAACTGAAAGATCTCGTTGCTGTAAGTTGTGGAGCTTTAAGAATATGTCATGACGATATTGCGGTGGGAGGTATTTCTTCTGCATTGCCTTTTTCATCTTCTCCCACTTAGTTATCTTCTCAATGCATTCTTTTTTCCTCTGCCTTGTAAATTTTCTCACCATAAGAAGGCATTCTTCTTTAGTTTAATGGCAACTATCTTGACTCGCTTGTCCTCTTCTACGTCTTTATACTCAAAAATCCGTTCGACTAATTGCAGCCAGTTGATAGACACATCGAGGTCCATACCTCCCTCAAATTCTAGGAGATCCATCTTGATTCTTAAGTCCCACTGACTCCCATAAGTGGCCTCTTGTCTCGACCTTCTTTGGTATTGGATGCTAAAGCGATGTGATCGATATTCCTCGTCATTGTGATCTTCCTTGTGAAACGGATTCATACGTCTCTGTCTTCCCCTTAACTTTCCTAATCATGGTTGAAGGTAAACTCTTCCTGGTTTCTGTCATCCAACTCCGCTAGTTTCCGTTGCAGACGACAAATTCCTCGTTGAATCTCTTCCTGAGTAGAGCCTGGTGTATCTCTTCGTGGTGGCATAATTAGGGTTGGGGATTGGAAGGAAAAAAATTGGGTGGATGTGGCTTGGGTGTGGCGGATGATAGGAAACCTAGGATAAGATTAGGGTTAGGTTAGCTCTGATACCAAATAATACCGGAACTAGTAGGAAAAACAGTGGAAACACAAAAGTAAACTTTCTTTAATATTAAAATAGAGTTACAACATGACATAAATGGAAAATAACAACATAACATAAAATGACAGAGGCAAACATCACTCAAGTGCATTCCAAGGGTGATGGAGGTCAGCGAGGTGGGTCAGGATTGCTAACGGAGGTGCTGGCAGTGAGGGGGGGAGTGCAAAATTGCAGGGACAACAAATATGGTGGGTTGTAGGTGACTTGCGGCAGGCGGAGGGGTGGCTGGAAGGTGCTGAACAACAAGGGCAGCGGTAGTGGGGTGAGAAGCGGTCAGCTGGGAGTGCTGAGAAGGAGGGAGGATGACTGAACAACAATGTAAAGTTGCAGATATGGGGCATTTGATTGCAGGAAATGAAGGAGGGGAGAGATCGACGGCTATGGAGAGGGGAGAAGACGAATGGGAGAAGGTGTAAGGGAAATGATACAATACCACGTCGGAGTAGGATATAATCAAAACACCACCACCTCCTCATATATATAGAGGACTGCAATGATGAAGCCAATATATTGATAGCTTTCTTGTGAATTTATATCCATATTATATGAGGTTTATTCTTTTTTTAAGACTTTTGAACAATGTGATGTACAATTCAGATATTTAGCCCGTTAAAGTTCAGATTTTTATGGGTCAATTAAAATTACTCTAATTGAGCTACAAAATGGATGAATTTTATCTTTTTAAACCCGTTTTAGAATCATGTTTAATTATGTTTGAATATCTCTTTTTTTTAGTTTGTTATATTTTATTAGGTTTTTTTTTCTTCTTTTGGATAAGAATTACTTTAAATTTAAACGTGTATTAGAATTAGATTGGAGAACAATGGTTACAATTTTTTTGTTCATTGATGATAAGTGAAATATGATATTTCGTGAGGCAATAAAGTGCTCTTGAGATCCATTTGTACTTGGATCACTCCTGTTTTATATGTGTGGTCTTTTTTCTTCCCCTCACCCTTTTTGGGTATTAGAGAAGGTTTGATTAATAATTCACTTTTTTGATCAAATTGATCAACATATCCGTCTTCTTAAAGCATGCAAACCTCTCAAAAGTTCTAATCCTTGTAGATAATGCATCCCAACATTTTTCTACAAGTTTAAAACTCTATAAGGATTTCTTGCGTGACTACTTTCTATCCCATAGCTAAATGCTCACATGCATATCACGCTACTGCCTCTGTTTGCTAGCATCCATGATTGCGAGCCCTCCCCACAAGTGCTCTCGCATGTGCATCCACAAGTGTTCTCACTTGTGCTCATGCATGAACCCAGTTGCTATTTCACATGTCCTTTATCAGTGTTTCTTTATAACTTGTAACATTGCCTACTGAACCAATGCTATGCTGAGTGCCATAGCTATTTATGACTTGCACATGTTTTCTTTTCTCACTGTCACTGCAGCCCGTCCACATCTTCCAAGTCATTCCTTTCCATAGGGTCTCATCTACATTTCAAGTAGGGTGAACCACACATAGCTTCTATCAACAACCCTCCATTACTTAATAATCTATATTGACCTCGTGTGTGTTCCATGATTTAATTCAATTCAATCAGGAACGATGAAAGTATTGGAAAATGGTTGAAATATCACACTAATTGTGATCAAGATAAATCGTGCAAAGCAAATTATAAGCTATTTGACTTGCCACTTCTGTAGTCTATTTGTCTTGTCATGTTCTTTCTGATGAGTCTCAAAAAAGTTCAATCCTGTCTTATAAAATTTAAGTCTAAAACTCATTTATTTTGTATGTTTGCATTTACTTGCCTCTTACTACATATGTTTTATTGATTTTTTTTTTTTAGATTTTTTGTGTTTTAAGGCGTACATTTGATTTATTTCTGCCTGTTTTTATTTGTTAGTTGCATTGTCATTGTGGTAAATTGAGTTAGTTCTTTGACCATCCTATTCAGTAATCAAACCCTTCCCTTTTTTATATTTGCTTGCATTGGCAACCAAGGACTTACATTTTTTTATTACTTGTTGCGCTAAGATTTTTAAATTCAGTAGTATTCTTTTTTGTGTTGTTCAACTGATTAGGCTTACCTCAGCCAATTTTGTTAGTCTTGACGTATTGTGACTTTTGAGCTGTAGCTAAGAAAATGTATGGCATGACGTACTGTCAATTTATTTTGTATAAAGTTTTTTCACAAGGGGTATTGATGCCTCAATCGCTGTTCTATAGATTTTTTTTTTCTATTGTTTTAGGTCACAAATCCTGCTATTGACCCTCTCCGAGAAGGTTTGGTCATGTCACTTGAGGTGAATATTGGTAAACGTGGAAATATTTTAAGTATTGGACCACAAAATGCATCTCAGGTTTGTAACTGTTGGTTTGTTTTCTATGTATAGTTTTTATCATATTCCTTTGTTCGTGTGTCTTTGAAGATCTGATTTATCATGAAACTGAATTCAATGTTAATTTTTGTGCAGGTTATTTTGTCTAGTCCTGTTTTGAATGAGGGGGAACTTGATTCATTGATGAAGGATACTTCTTTAAAAGCTCAAGTATTGCCAACCTTTTTTGACATTAGTAAAGGTTTGGATGGCTCATTGGAAAATGCATTGAAGCACCTTTGCGAGGCTGCTGATGAAGCTGTTCGCAGTGGTTCACAATTACTTGTTCTTTCTGACCGTTCCGAGGAGCTTGTAAGGACTTGTGTCTTTATAAGTAATTTTTACTCTATTCGCTTTGTGTTATTTATTGATGCTCTGATTTTATTGCGCAATTCTTTTGTTCTTTATATTTCATTTTCAACATTTAGGTGTAAGTTTATGCAACATCAATATCATTTGGCAGTTTTTTTTCTATTAAGGTTCTTCAAATAACTTTCTCTCCTTTTTTGTTTGATCTTGCTAATTTTATCTGCATACATCAAAATCGAGTAATTAAGATTGTGCTAGTGCTTTCCTCTCCTCACATAATCAATTAAGGAAATGATTAACTTTTTCTTGTCGACTACATTTTTATTCGAGTTGAATTCTACTTCGGGATGTTTTTTTAGTTGATAGGACTTCTTTCTCTCTTTGGCTTGTTTGCTTTCTCCATAATGCATCAGAATCTAGTTATCGTTAGACTTTATATTGTGCTTGTTAACTTTGTTGTATATTTCACTCAAATGCTTTTCTTGCATCAATCTCTACTCCTGTGATGTTGATTTCTGTGATTATGACCACTTCTGTTCATAAAAATTCATATATAACGACAGTAGAATTTGTATATTTTTGTTATGTATAATCCTAATTTTTTTTAAAACAAAATTCTAGAATATGATGTGTTGAACTTTAATTGGACGTTTACCTCTAATTGAAAATTGTTTCTGCTGGTAAAAATGTGAATTTTCTAAGGTAAATTTGTATGAAACTGAATGGTAAGGATAGCAATTTTTCTCTTTATTATGGTGCTTAATGTGTAAAATTTGATTTGAAGTCAAAATGAAAGAGGAGTTTAAAATAATGGCTTCTGTTGAGGTTAAGATTTATTAGTGAAATTGATTGCCCAAAGAAGTTATTCATTTCTGCATCAAGATGTTATAGTATAAATTTTTTTTGTTTTGAACATAACTTGTGGACCGATATTCTAGGCGGGCAATGTTTCCATATTTCTTGAACATAGATGTTATTTGGTATTTTATGTTGTTCTTTGCTGCAATATATAGTGCAAATAAAATGGTTGACTTTCAATGAAGTTGGACATGATGTTTTCTCATAATGGCTTTACACGATTGTCACGACCCGATCCAAGAAAATGGAATAACCTGACAGGAATAAAAAGATTGGATGATAGGTACATATTTTTCTATTAATATCTAAATATTTCATAATATCTTCCAAATTTTAAATCAATAAAGGACAAAATATCACTTTCACATTGAACATTTAGTTATAGATTTATATATATGTTCCATACAACAAGATACTAATATTTTTTGTACCTACTGTCTTTTGATTCTCTTCTTATACGTGAATACCTTTTTGTTAGCCATTTAATTTAGAGATTTTTGCTGAAATTTAATAATAGCAATATGGTAAGTCATATAGCAATTCAGTTAATTATAGCTCTATAGTATAGCATTCACATGGATAGAACATGCAAGTCATAATAAGTAGGAAATAGCATCTTCATTATAACAGACAATTATGACATATTTACTATTTGTTTTTTATTTCATATGTTTTTTTTTTTATTTTAGGCATATGCCTTGATTTAGCACAATCCGAGTTGGAACCACACATGAATGGGTATTCTTATGATCCAAGTCTCAAGCTATTAAATTTATAACATGTTTTTTCCACTCGTACTCAATTGGGTACTTCCAATAAATAAGTATTTTTAGAGAAACCGACATTGTAATGAGATCTATGGTATATTGGACAACTTTCAGTAGTAACAACTAAAGAGACAAACTATCGGTTAGGACATTCGTCAACTCTGTCAATATGGCCGCCCATTCTTTTTTGATATCGGCTCATCAGGCTCACTACATTCTAGGAAAACTAATGTTGGTGATGCTGGAGTCACTCAAATGGCTCAGATTGAATCACTAGCATGTTTCCGTGGTTGATCGAAAGCTGATATTCCTATTTGACGTCATTTTTCTCTTGTGTCATTGTTCATTTATTCAATTGCTTTCTATTTAGTGAAAGATATCAACCTCTTATTTTTTACACTGCGACTTAGTGTGGTCAAAACCGTGACACTTGAATCCTTTCCTGGTTAGGACAGATTTAGGTTCACATTTTTTGCACTTTGGATTGATTCTCCTTGGGTGGGGTCGGCTTGGGTGCTCTATTGAGTGTGCTTCTGTTGTTTGATCGGATAGCTAAACCCTATTTGAAGGATAGTGTAGATTTGATACTGTTTTCTTATCTCTCTATTTTCAGGGTTAAGGTTTGAACATCTTTTACTGTCTAATAGGGTCTTAACATTTGATAATGGATAATCTCAATCCTCTCAGATATCATTTTATGATGTTCTACTTGGGCTCCACTAGCTCACACTTCAACATGAGCTGCTCAAACTTAACAGTGTACTCAACAAAGAGATCTTGCTACTGCAAGTGATGAAGTCTCAAGAACGTGTTCTGTTTATAATGTGTTGGTATGTAATTCCACTACATTTCCTTTTTCATCTTGGACAAAGAAGTGATTTTACTATTTCTTTTCTTTGTCAAAGACGCTTCAGATTTTCTCACCACAATGAAGCATTCTTCCTTAACTTAATAGGGTTAGCTTGACCATTCTGTTTGGTGGAACATCCTTAAAGACTTGTTACACTATTTGGAGTCACTCGATAAATTTGTCTAGATCCATGCTACCGTTAAAATCTGGTAAATCCACTTTTATTTAAGGATCTTGGCTTCTCTTCTGTTATTTTATGCCAAAGCTATTTAATTCCTTCTCTCGATCTGGGATTTCACCGTTATGGGTGACATCTTAGGGTTGTTTCATCTCTAAGGCGGGAAACCTTTTTACAGTTGAAGGATTCTCATTGCATATTGTCCATAGTAATCTCCTAGACAACTCTTTATGAATTTCTCTCAGGCAACATCGTGCCCTTTTCTCTCGATTAAGATTTTGATGGGTCTAAGGTTATTGATAAAAGTTTGGTCAAAATTTTGAATTTTAGTGATAGAAGTTGGGACATTTTTTTGGTGATGTAAAAAGGCTGGATTTTGAAAATTTAGGGTTAGGGTTAGGAATTGCAGTAGGAATGGTTTGTGTATGATGTGAATCTTTTTTTTGTTTTTTGAGATTTTGGTTTTCAAGTAGAAAGATAAATATCTTAAAATTTAGGGTTTGCCGGGCTCTAATATCAGATTATACATTTTTAGGGCTCCTTGAAGGTTTGGGAATACATAAAAGCGTCTGGGAAGTTGTAGGATGGGTAACACGAGTAAGAGAATGAAAGGCTGTGTTTGGCGGGATAGCGGATTGACAGTGGAATGCTGCAGGTTTCTACTGTAAATAGCATCTATTTGTTGTCAAATGACAGTAGGCAGGAGGTTCAATGGCGGAGGAGACCTTTGAACATTTGGGAGAGATTACCATTTCAATCCTATCAGGTTACAGACACACCACTTGAAAGAAACTCAAAGATACAATGCTCAACGGAAAACACCTTCAAATAACATTACAAAACCAAAAAGTCTGAAAAAAGTAAGAAATAATGAGATATAAATAGTCCCTCAAGTAAATTCTTATCTTAATTAGGAAATATAAGAAATTTGGCCCTGAAAGGATTGACAACGGTACATAGGCAAGAAATCCTTTTTGTCGGTGTAGAATGGGTGGAATCCCATCGTCTCCATTCCGAGACACCGAAAATCCCACTGAAATTCTCTACGACGAGATGTATTCCCATGATCAATAGAAAATGTGAAATACCATGTCCGCATTCCGATTGTGCGCAATCCCGCATTCCGTAAGTGCTATTAGACACCGAAAATCCCACTGAAATTCTCTACTTGGACGAGATCTATTCCCATGATCAATAGAACATGTGAAATCCCATGTTCGCATTGCGATTGTGCGCAATCCCGCATTCCGTAAGTGCTATTCAAATATAGGGAATCAATAAAAAATTATTTAATAGTTTGTAAATTAAAAAATTGCCATTCAAGAGGTTCTAAATTAATTTATTTTGATATGCAATATCTTATATTAACTATATCATATTACTACATATGAGTACTGTCTAAATTGTATAAATTAAGATACATCAAAATTAATATTTTTTTTATAATTTACATGCCAATGTACTTTAACATCTCTAGTTATTGTCATAAAAAAAGGTGAATTTTTTCCGTCAATATGCAAAGAAAAATATTATGTATAGTTTATATCATTTTCATTTTCGTATAATTCTATACGTTTTTACAATAAATAATGCATAAAAGAGTAAAATTAAACATGCTAAGAGAATTTGTTAAATACATTTCAATATGATCAATCGGTCCAAAAGAATAGAATAATCATATTAAACTTCCACTATCAAGATATTTAAAGAAATGCTAATCTATCATAATTAGTTTAGAAGAATGCAATATTATTGCTATAATTTAGAAATAAGTGTTCACTTTGTTGCCCGATAATACGATTTTAAATCTTTTTACTATTTAATTGGAACTCCTTCAATATAACGCCTACAATTTAAAAAAATATTTATATTTATGATTTTAATTTACAATTTGACGCGGGGCTGTGAAGCGGGCTGACTGAACCGGCCCCCAGAAGGGGTACCTATCGCCCGCCATACTCCCCACTTTTCTTCTCCGTTACCTGCCTATTCCCCTTCCTTTTTCCATTACTCACCTTTTATATCTCTTGCTTATTCTATGTCCTTTATTTTCTATTTCTTTTTTATTTTAATCCTTACTTATTCTACATACTAATCCCTATTGTATACTAATCCCTATTGTATATATGAGATGTTTGTTTAGGTTAGAGGCGATTGATTGATTGTTTGATTCCTAAATTCAACATTCTTCCTCGTGCGTTATTCCTTTCCGAGAGCTGTATCCGACGATGAGAAGGTGTTCCAACTATAATTTGTCTGAAGTGGTGATTATCTCCGTATTCCTTCGCTTCTTGCTACCACCGGTTCCATCCAATGCTTCCAGATTGCTACAGACCCCCCTTCTTGTGCTTCCAGGTTGCCGCAGACTCCATCTAGCACTTCGAGATTGTGGTAGACTCCATCCAGCGCTTCTGGATTTTCACAGGCTTCTGCTTGGGCTTCCAACCAGCAGCAAACTCTTGCCCGCATTTC